ATATACAGGGTGATTCAGTCATAATGTCATTAATTTTAAGAGCAGATAGAGAAAAATGAGTATAATACGATGGCGTGATTAAAAAAAAATTAAATGCATATTTAAGCTGAAAAAAAATATTTTCAAATCATTATTTAACCCCCTTTTCAGGCTGTTACTGACCGGCTGACGTTCACAATATTGTGCACGGCTACGATGTGAACAAGGTGCCCTAGATGCAACGTTGCCATATTTATATATTTTCCCTCATATAAAGACAATAAATAAACGGTTTGCTCACGTTAGCCAATAATAATTTAAAAATTATTAATTATTTTTTATTTATGCAATCAACTTATTAAATTGTTATTGTTGCCCAGCAAGAACCTCGAGGAGGTCTGAGCATGCCTTGCCAAAAATCAGTTTTTATTAACATCATAATGTTAATTTTTTAACATTTGCTGTAAGCCCGAAGGCTTACAACAAATGTTCAAATACATTACCGTTACCGTCTATGCATAAGTGTACACGTTGAATAGATGAGCGGCGGATGCGATGGAATAAACCAGGGTTGTTACGTATTTCTTCAGCGGCATCTTCGATGCGATTCTGCAACTGCTCTACATTTTCTACCTCGGTGTGATACACTACAGATTTCATATAACCCCATACACAAAAGTCCATAGGATTTAGGTCCGGCGAGCGCGCTGGCTATCTTATGGGCCCTCCTCTTCCTATCCACCGATTGGGACATTGATCGTCTAAAAATCCACGGACATCACAAGCAAAATGGGCCGGAGCTCCGTCGTGCATATACCACATATCCCGTAGCATCTGAAGGGGTTTTCAAACAATTCTACTAAAAATTGAAAGTAACGCGGCCCGTTTAGATGTTCAGGTAGAAAATGCGGCCCAATTAAACGATCGCCATATACTCCTGCCCATACATTAACACCGAATCTCCTCTGAAAGCTAAACCGACGAGTAGTGTGCGGGTTTTCATCTGACCAAATGTGACTATTATGGCTACAAAGAAATTAGCTGTTTCACTTTAAATAAAATTTAATATTTAATTAAGTTACAAAACTCCAAAAGTTTAAATAATTTAAATTTCATTTCATTATAAATTTCAATTTCGTTACAGAAATAATGACATAAAAAACAACACTCACTAGATAAATTATAAAGAGAGGATTAAATGTATGTAGTAGGTATTTAAATATTGACTGTAAGTAATAGAAGAGAGACTTGTATATTCCATAAAAACCAATGGGACGGAGACAAATAAACAACTCGGTACATGTGTCCGACCTAGGTTAACCTGTGGTTCACTAACCTTTTAACCCACTTTTGATGCACGTGTACCATATAGTTCAGGAGCAGATAGAGTTCCGTAGCCAGAGGCCACGGCTGCAAATAACTTATTCTTAAGTATTTGACCTCCTGAATCCAAAAAATTTGTCGCAAAACCTGAGAGTAGTCAGTTTAAATTAAATGTTTAAATGGCTGTAAAAAGTTTATTTTTATAGCTAGTACAATTTTTTATTCGTTAATAGTTACGTTTTCTCTAGGTAATTTATTAATTTATTTATTTAATAATTAATGGCAGCTTAGAAAGTTGTGAATTTCAACGAAAATGCTGGTTTTAATGGTTTATAAGATTTTTTTTATTATTCAGCTTCGACGAAAAGCCAAAAAAGTTACCGGATATTGTTCTTTGCATCCTAACAATCATGCAAGGCATGAAATCATTGTTAGGATGCGAGGAACGATAACCGGTAACTTTTTGACTTTTCATCGAAGTTTAATAACAAAAAAAGTCTTATAAACCAATAAAACCAGCATTTTCGTTGAAATTTCACAACTTTCTAAGCTAATTATTAAATAAATAAATTAATAAATGGAACTTACCTAGAGAAAACGTAACTATTAACTAATAAAAAATTGTACTAGCTATAAAAATAATCTTTTTACAGCCATTTAAACATTTAATTTGTTGATAACAATTAAACTGACCACTTTCAGGCTTTGCGACCAAGTTTTTTGGATTCAAGAAGTCAAATACTTAAGAATAAGTTATTTGCAGCCGTGGCACTCTATTGGCTATCTGACCCTAGACTAATACGAGTGTAGTAGGTATTCGATGCAAAGCAGAGCAAAAAGTTGTCGGTCTTTTATCAAAGGAAAATCGTGTCAACAAATTGAATGTAATGAATAAGGATGATTGTTTTTATTTCGAATGTATGGTTATTACATTTATCATTTTAATATTATTAACGTTTTCACGTTTTATAATTTATTATAAGTAATACATAGTTTTAGTACTTCAATTTATCATTCAATATGCAGTTGAGGATAGCCAAAGTTTACATAATAAATGTAAACTTTTTGTTTCTGAGAAAGTAATATGTTCATTACCTGTTTAAAATGCCAGCTCGAGTAAAACAGCATTCATCCGTCCAGAGCACTTTGTTAATAAAGTTCGGTTCTTCTACACTTCGATTTAGAAGCCAATTGCAAAATTCAAGACGATTGGGGAAATCAGCTGGTTCTAAAGCTTGAACTTTTTGAAAATGGTACGGGTTGAGTGAATTCTCGCGCAATATTCTCCAAACTTTAGTTGTGGTATCTCCAATCGTCTTGAAATTGTTCTTGTGGAAATAGTAGGCTGCTCCTTGACTACATTTAAAACAGCCTCTATCACATTTAAATCATTTTGTCGATGTCCTGCACGTTCTCTACGCGGTATGACAGATCCAGTATCACGAATGCGTTGTACGGCTTGCACAATTGTTCGCGCACTTGGGAAGTTCTGTCGATCAGGGAAACGCCTGCGATATTCAATTGCAGTGGCATTTGCGTTCTGTACACACTCTCCATATAAAATCACCATATCCACATATTCGGCATTCGTATACAAAGCCATCACGACCGACAAATTAAGCAAATCGAAGTAAACTAAACTAACGGTTCCGTGTGTATGTGTCTTTCCAGTCCACATCCCCTCTCCATCTTTATGGTGTGATATTCACTCCTTTGCGGGAAAAATGCGGGAGATATGGAGGGTGGTAGATTTTAATAAAGAATTTAAATTGTAAATGATTTTGTAACCGTGTGTAGTGGATTTTGTATATTCAGGTATTTAGTGTGCCGACTTTTTTTATTTGATAAAATACGGTGTGCCTACAAATATCTGCTTTATTTTCTTTTAACGAGAGTTGACTTCGAGAAGTCAGGCTTGTTAAAACATTTTGCACTAACTTACCTAATACTTGGCAACGCTGTTCGCTTCAGCTGACGATTTGTTCGTGACATTACGTTACTAAATTTTCCGAGCATCCGGGCATCTGGCAGGGCCGCCCGCTTAGCGGGAGTTATAGGTTGATTTCCTTCATTTTTAAAAGTCGAGTAAAAAAATTTTTTTTCTGATTTTCTGTCTTTATTAAGCCTTCCGAATACGTGGTTAAAATTAATGACATTATGACTGAATCACCCTGTATATATTGCCAAAGCGTTAGACGACTGTCTAAGTTAACTAACAAAATTCTAAATATAGTCGGGTCTGCAGTCAAAGCCAAATTTGAAGTGTACTCTTTTTTATTACTCGAGCTTTCGGAACAAAATTATTCCTCCCTCAGGAGAAACTATAATGGAATATACATTGGTAACAACCACAAGTAATAATCTAATTTATACTTACAAAATTGAGATTTGAATCAAAAAAATTTTTAACCAAGTTTAAAACAAAATCCATCTGAATCATCAATCATAACAGTACGATACTTGAAAATCTATTGTTAAAAACATTCATTAACACTATTGTTAACATATATATATTAAAATTATTTAAAATTTTTTTAAGCTATTACTTTACAATTACATTTTTAAAAAACTATATAACCTTAAAAACTTTGCTCAGCCATGTGGCAGCATGGAATCATAATTGAACCAAAGAATCATAACCAAAATTTTACTGACACAAAAAGTAAACAGAACAAAATGATTGAGACAACCATGGAACAAGTAAATTTTAGAAATAAGAAGAAAGTGAAATTTAGCGCTAAATTTTGAAAAATAATTTCTATAAGCTGGATTCACTAACGTCATTAATAGAAGAATTATTATTATTAATACTTAACAAATATGTGAACATGATACTTAAGTTATCAATGTCAGAACGTCTATTCATAGTGTTATCACATTGAAAAATGCTGCACATCTCAAGGAAATTTCTTTTAAAATAATTATTTTCTGTAAATTTTATACTTACTTCGTTAAAATCAATATCATGTTTACAACTATTTGTATGGTTTGACAACATACAAGAATTCTTATTGAGTCTAATGTCACTTTTATGAGAAACAATTCTATCTTTAAGCCTCCTACCAGTCTGCCCAATATAAACTTTTTGACAATCTTTACATGGAATACTATATACAACATTAGATTTATATAATAAAGGAACTTCATCTTTAAGACTAGAAAAAATATTTTTAATAATTAATTTATTCGTAAAAGCTAGTCGAATGTCATTCATATCTGAAAAAATGTTTTTTAATTTCCAAGTTATAGATTCTATATAGGGTAATGAAAAATATGAAGAATTTGAATGAACCGAAATATTATTGACAACATTGTTTGTATGGGAAGTGCTGCCTAACCCATCATCAAGAACAGAATGTGAAGGAGAAAGAACTTGTAAATCATTATTTCTATTAAAAAGAATTTTGTTAACAAGCCTACTTGGGTAACCACATTTAAGGAACAACTGAGCAAGTTTTCTCAGGTTTTCCATCGTTTTTGAACGATGTGACGTACGTAAGACCCTGTTTTTCATCCCTAGCAATAAATTAATTTTCTGTTTCATGGGGTGATACGATGCAAAATGCAAGTATCGTCCTGATGCCCCAGGTTTTGTATACCACGATGTGTACAGAATATTGTTTTCAGCTCTGAAAACTTTAGTGTCAAGAAACGGAACACTTTTGTTCTCGTCTTCTTCTTCCACCGTAAATTGGATGAAAGGGCTATAACTATTAAAAACATGTAAAACTTGTTGTATGCTTGAGTGTTCCCTTGGGTTGGCATAGCAAGTAGGTTTGTTAACAAAATTCTTTTTAATAGAAATAATGATTTACAAGTTCTTTCTCCTTCACATTCTGTTCTTGATGATGGGTCAGGCAGCACTTCCCATATTAACAATGTTGTTAATAATATTTCGGTTCACTCAAATTTTTCATATTTTTCATTACCCTATATAGAATCTATAACTTGGAAATTAAAAAACAATTTTTCAGATATAAATGACATTCGACTAGCTTTTACGAATAAGTTAATTATTAAAAATATTTATTTTAGTCTTAAAGATGAGGTTCCTTTATTACATAAATCTCTAATGTTGTATATAGTATTCCATGTAAAGATTGTTAAAAAGTTTATATTGGGCAAACTGGTAGGAGGCTTAAAGATAGAATTGTTTCTCATAAAAGTGACATTA